GCAAAACGTGCTGAAAAACAATTGGTGGGTGGTCCTTATTTATTTTCACAGTGGATTTAGTGACAGCATTCTCAGCAGACTGCCAAGAACAGAAGCCAGAATGTAGTGGGTTAAGAAGCTACAATGCAGGGGGTAAGGAGAAAATGGAGAGGATTCAGAGAGAAAGAATACTAGCTACAGGGGGATGTAGAGTAGAATTTTCATAAAGATGGGAAAGACTGGAATACTTTGGTCAAATGCTACAGGCAAGGAACCCTGAGAACAAATAAGGGAAGGGATTCAGAGTAAAAATGGAAGGCTTAGCCTTAAAAGAAAGTAGTGTACCTTTTCTACTGTAATCAAAGGGAAGACAAAAACGCGGGGCATACATTCAGGGAAGTTTTAAGCATAGTGACAGAAAACTGAGGAAGATCTTTTAAGATGGCATTTATTCCTAAGCAAAGTAGAGGGAGAGACAGTCTCAGAAAGGAAAAGAGGCTTTTAAAAAACCATGGTTGATAATGGGAAAGAGAGCTGCACGGGGAAGCCTCTGAGGATTGCTGGGCAGAGCTGAGAACCCAACTGGGGAGAAGACTAATTTTTAGTAACATTAGCCTGTAGAGATCTGAGGTTTTTTCTAGCAGCATTTGGAAGGCTGGAGGTAGGCTCACGAGAGGTCAACATTTGGATTCATCTAGAGCTGGGTTTTTGCCAGGTGGGTTTAACAGAATCCTGAATGGGTAAGGCAGTTGAAAATACTACAAGAGAGGGGATGAAGTGATGGATCGTGAAGTCTAGGTCAAGCAGGGGCAGAAGAAATTAAATGAAGGAGGCCAAAAAGGACAGAGGGCAGAGAGAGACTGCATAGCTTAATGAGGTTTTAAAACAAAAATGAAAAAACAAGTATAACAGGAAATAACTGAATGAGAATGATGGCTGAATAAGGGATTCTTGCTCTGAATGAAATTTGAATTGAAGTTTTCAGAGATGGACGAGTCCAGTGTGTGATTACAAATACAGCTGAAATTAGTGGAAGTGAAGGTCATTGCACATGAGGAATCTGGAGTTGGAGTCAAAATAGCCAAGGCTCCACTTAGCTTCCACAAAGCAGCATCTGGAGGATATGGCCTGGTCTTGAGAAAACATTTCCCCCTCCAGTTTTTCTAATGACATGATCTGAGGGGACATTTCCCAGCATTCAATATTCTAGGATATTTGAATAAAGTTAATTTGTTCCATCTCAGACCTGTGTGCTCACTCCCTCCTCCAAATTCTGTCAGTGATCTCTTTCAGGGACGTAGCTGAGTATGAGGGACACAGGGCAGGTATCTGACTGGGTTTCTGGTGCATGCTACAACAACTGATGAACCCGAAGACATTACGGTAAGTGAAATAAGCCAGTCACAAAAAGATACTGTATGATGCCACTTATTTTTTTTTTTTAAGATTTTTATTTATTTATTTATATGAGAGAGAGAGAGAGAGAGAGAGAGTAAAAGCACGCTGAGCAGGGAGCCTGACACGGGGCTCAATCCCAGGACCCCAGGGATCATGACCTGAGTTGAAGCAGACTTTTAACTGAGTGAGCCACCCAGGTGCCCCTGTATGATTCCACTTGTATGAGAGACCTAGAGTAGTTAAATTCATGGAGACAGAAGGTAAAATGGTGATTGCCAGCGGCTGGGGGAAGTGGGAACGGGGACTCACTGTTTAATGGGTACAGAGTTTCAGTTTTGCAAGAAGAAAAGTGTTCTGGAAATGGACAGTGGTGATGGTTGCACAATGTGAATGTACTTAATGATGAATGATACATTTAAAAATGGTTAGCATGGGGCGCCTCGGTGGCTCAGTCGTCAAGCATCTGCCTTCAGCTCAGGTCATGGTCCCAGGGTCCTGGGATCGAGCCCCCCACATCGGGCTCCCTGCTCCGCGGGAAGCCTGCTTCTCCCTCTCCCACCCCCCTGCTTGTGTTCCCTCTCTCGCTGTATCTCTCTCTGTCAAATAAATAAATAAAATCTTTAAAAAAAAATGGTTAGCATGGTAAATGTTATGTACATTTTATCCAGAATGAAAAAGAAAAAAAACTAGATGCACATATATGGTCACATGATATATAAAGAAGGTGACATTACAGTATCATAGAGAAGGGAGGGTGATGGGCCAATTGGATACCTGTGAAGAAAAAAATAAATCTTCACCCCTATCTCACACCATACACAAATACCAATTCCAGAACTGCAAATATAAATGTGAAAGCCTAAAACAATAAAGCTTGTAGGATAAAATGAAGAACAACTCTGTAACCTTAGAGGAGGAAAGGACTACTTCAATAGGGTACAAAAAGCTCTAACCATAAAAGAAAAAAATACCTTAAAAACCAGAATATGTTAAAATTAAAAACTTCTGTTCATCGAAACATACTAATGAGAGAAGGGAAGCCAGAGAATTAGAGAAGATATCTGCAACCACATAACTGAAAAATGACTTGTCAAAACTATATAAAGAACTCAATAGATCAGTTAAGGAAAGGCAGACAAATCAATGGAAAAATGAACAAAAGACTGACACACATCCGCATTTCCAAAAAAAAATATGAAAAGGTAGTGAACTTCATTTGTTATCAGAGAACTGCAAATTAAAACTACCATGAGATACTGCTACAAACCATCAGATTAAAAAGACAGAAACAACTAAGTGAGAGCATGGAATCATGAGAATTCTCATCCAGGCTGGTGGGCATGTAAATTGGTACTACACTGGAATGTGTTTGGCAGTATCCACTAAAGCTGAACAGATGCATATCCAATGATCCAAAAATTTCAAAAGGAATGCAACATGTGTTCACTAAAAGACATGTACTATAATGCATAGCAGGACTTTATTAACTGCCAAAAAAGGGAAACTATTCAAATGTCCATTGAGAGTAAAATGGGTAAGGAAACTGCAGAACATTCACATAATAGACTGCTAGACAGCAGTGACAATAAACAATCTGTAGTAACACCCACAATAATTCGACATGATGAATCTCACAAAATGTTATGCCAAAATATAAAGCCAGTTACAAAAAAAGTTCATATTGTATTTTTCCATTTACATACAGCACACAAAACCAATCTATGATAAGTCAAGATAGTAGTTCCCCTTTGGCTGAAAGAGGGATGGGGAGGCAGGTAGTGACTGGAAGATGGCACTAAGGAAGGTCTATGGTGTGACCGAGTGTATTTCAAGGATACTGGTACTGATAAATTTCTTAAGAAACCAGACAGAAGAATAACGAGATAAAAAATATCTCAAGATGTTTTGGCAACAGTTTTAGGATCAGCCATCTAGGAGGTTATGAGGGGAACAGAATTATAGTAGGGGGGATTTTGTGTTAAAAATGACATGCTGTGTGCAAGAGGTTGTCCGTGGTGAAGGAGTGGCCAGCAAATATCTACCATGGATCTTCTCTGCTCCAGGCAGGAGTAAAACTTGGTCAAGACAGAGGGGGGTACATACACACACAGTGTTAAGTGCTGAGAGTGGGGGTGAGAGGAGAAGGAATACACAAAAGAAACAAACATAAGAGAGTGGACGGAGAAAGGAGTACCTGAAATAAATGCTGCAGAATGATGGAAGTAAATCATAATAAAAGTACCTGTTTGGGAGATAGTGGTTATTTACCTGCAAATCCTGCCTTGGTTTAAAATCAGGGAATATGGTAAACCAAAAAACAACATACATGTAGGAACCCAACTAAAAAACCTGGTTAACCCCACTTTTCTTCAACTGTAGTTGAACGGATCCTTCCTTGCTAAAAATAAAAACATGACTTGTTAGCCGTTATAACAGAAAGGAAATCTGGAAGAAAATCTCTAGGTGGAAACATGCCACCACCCCCCCCCCCCCCAGTCAAAGAATGAAAATTAGATTAAGAAATCGGAGGGTTAGGGGCGCCTGGGTGGCTCAGTTCCTTAAGCGTCTGCCTTCCGCTGGGGTCGTGATCTCTGGGTCCTGGGATCCAGCCCTACATTGGGTTCCCTACTCAGCGGGGCGTCTGCTTCTCCCTCTCCCTCTGCCTCTCCTCCCGGCTTGTGCTCTCTCTCCCTCTCACTCACTCTCTACTCTTTCTCAAATAAATACATAAAATCTTAAAAAATAAATGGGAGGGTTAGTTTTCCAGCTTTACTCTTTTCAACTTTGGTGTCAATCCCAATTAGAGAAAACATTAAGGGAGAGAGATAGGAAGCATTTATTTGGTAAGTGCCCACTCTATTAAGGGGAGATCATACTGTCATGGTGAGGCAGATATGTCACAGGTTATTTTTTTAAAAAAGTGTATTAAATATGTTACGTAATTAAGTAGAAGAAAACCTCGTGGGGGAAAAAAGTAAGGCGTAACAATTCCTGGGAGAGTTTGGAAACGCTTCACTGACATTTAAGTTGGGCCTTGGAGAATGGAGTAGGAGCTTGTCGGGTATGTCAAGAAGTGGAGTGAGGCCAGAAAGAGCCTAGAGAATTGAGGAACGGCGCAGAAACTCGGGCTGGTTTCTGCACTGGGCTGTGTGTGTCGGATACAATGAGAGAAAGAGGGGCTAGGAAGGCAGGTCGGGGACTAGGGAGCAAAGCATCTTCTTCAAGAGCCAAGAGCATCACACGTCAGAAAGCAATATGGCACAGAGGTTAGGAGCACTGGCTGTGTTCTAAATCGGGCTCCACCGTTTACCCGCTGTGTGATCTGGGCAACAGCCTGGGCCTCAGTATTCGCGTTTGTAACGTGGAAATAATCTTTACCTTATACAGTTGCTAGATCGTTTAGCACAGGGTCCAGCCCATTCAGCGCTAAATGAGAAAACATCATCGTTGTATGATGACCAGCCCTCTCACCTCCCCGCGACAGCTAAAGAAGCAAAGTTCGCTCCGGTCGGCCGCGCCCACTTGCCACTGCTCCGCCCTTTCAGGCCTTAGACCTCTATTCAGAGAGTGGGGCCGGGCCAGAGAAGGGGCGGGCGGGCCTGGCGGGCAACGCCGCCGCTTACCAGGGCTGGGGTCTCGCTCCTCGTCCTCCGCTGTCCCGCGGGCCTTGAAGCCGGGCGGTAGCGCCGGCCCGATCAGATCCCTCGCCATCCGCGGTGGCGGACACGGGTCAAGCATACAACTCTAACCACGCAGAGTCAAGTCCACCCCCGGATCCGTCGCAAACGCAGGAGGTTTTTCCGGCCCCTACCAATGACGTAGAAGCCCCTGGTTGGCAGAGTCGGGTAATCGCGAGAACGGAAGTGACGCCTAAGGCTTGTTCCACGTTCGCACGCTAGGTTCCCTACCTGGCGGGAGGCATGGCTGAGCAGGCTAGTGGTTTCGTGACTTCGGCGAGGTGGTTTCCAGCGTCCGAACGGACCCCCACGGTGGGGCCTCTGAGCGACACTGCCGCGCCGCGGGACAACTGGATGCTCTGGGCAATGCTGCCGCCGCCACCACCACCGCCTTCGTCGTCGCCTCCCGTAGCAGGGTCACAGCCTTCCTCAGAGGAGCAGCCCCCCCGGGAGGCCCAGGCTCTCCCCGAGGCGCCTCCTCCCTTCGACGCCCAGATTCTTCCCGGGGCACAGCCTCCCTTCGACGCCCAGTCTCCCCTTGATTCTCAGCCTCACCTCAACGGCCAGCCTTCCTGGAATTTCCAGGCTTCGACATCATGGTACTGGAGACAGTCTCCTGGTGTTTTTCCTGGGCACCAGAACGCTCCGGGTAGGCTGTTATCCTCTCCTTACCACCCCTTTACTTTTCCTCTCCCCTTCTTCTCTCTCCCACTTTCCCCCTTTTCCTCTCTCTATTTCTGATTCTGCCCTGCACTCTTGGAGTCTGTTCATTAACGTCCACAGTTTGTCCCACAGTAGTGTTTTCCCCGCCTATTCAGTCGGTTCAGCAGTTATAACAGAATAAAGCGGTGTGTATTAGAAGGCAATGGGTGCTACGGAGAGAGACAAAGCAAAGAAGAATGATAGGTAGTGCAGTTTTAAATGTCAGTGTAGTCATAAACAAGGTGACATTCGAGCAAAGACTTCAGGGAGGTGAGGGATCAGAGCTGTGGGGAATAGGGATGAACTGCAAGTGCAAAGACCTTGAGGCAGGAGCTATAGATCAGAACCAAAGCCCGTGTGGCTAGAGAGGAAGGAGCCTGGGGTGGAATTGTAGATTGGGGAAGAGGGCAGACCTGCTAGGGCCTTGTAGATGATGGGACTTTGACTTTTTACAACTCTGATAGGGGTAGTGCAGGGGAGTGACATGATTTGATTTATGTTTTAGAAGGATTAATGTAGCTACTGATGGGAATCCACTTAAAGGGAAACGAATTGAGAAGCTTTTGCAAGTTATCCGAGTGAGAGATACAGGATGGAGCTCAGGAGGTGATGAGAAGTGTTGGATTCTAGATCTGTTTTGAAGGTAGGGTAGGGCCAACACGATTTGCTGAAGGATCAGATATAAGGTGTGAGGTAAAAATGAGACAAGAATAACTTAAAGTTTTTTGCCAAACAAGCAGAAAGGATGGGAGTGGAACAGATTTGGAAGGAAGACCAGGAGTTGAATTTGTGTCAAATAGAGATATTGAATAATAGGCTGTTAGTTTGTACTTTCCAGGGGAGATTTGTGGCTGGAGCTGTGAATTTGGGTGTCATCAGCATATAGATCATATTTAAAGCCACGAGATTGTTAACTTAAAACCGTTCTCTAACTGCATAAGATTTAATTTACATTAACTTTAATCCAAATCACTGTTTATTGTGTGCCAAATGCTGGGAATAGGAATGTGCCTAAAACAGTTCTAAGTCAGATGAGATGGGCTCATAAATGTAAATCAACGCATCGTGACTGGTGATGGAGGCATATGAAAGGTGATTTCAGAGTTTAGAGGAAGTTGGGGAAAGCTTTTGGAAGAAGTGTCTTGGGAGATGTTTAGGATTTAGGAAGAGATCCTTTTTAGACGGGGCAAAGAGGTGTGAGTACAAGGTGAGTTCTGAGAATTGCACTGTTCTGGTGTGACTGAAGCAAAGTAACTGGAGGTATGGGGGGAAGAGTAGGATGAGAAAATAAACCGGATTCTCATTAAAGGACTCTGGGAATCATTTATAGATTTTCCAGCAGGATTGTGACCAGTGGAGGATTATTTTTGTGGTGTCAGTGTGCAGGGTCTGTTGGAAGAGAGGGCTTAGGAACTGGAAGACAATGGGGGAGGCTGTCAGAGTAATCAAGGTGAAAGATAAGGGTTTCAGAGTTGGGTCATGGCAGTAATATTTCACAAGGCTCAGTTTTCCTGGTATAAAATTGATGCTGAAAGCACTATATTGGGATTTTATTGTTTACATTTCTAATGTTTGAAATAACTACAAGAAATTTCATCAGGTTAGAGTGGCTATTCCTTTCTTTACTTTGACACCTAAAGCATGTATGGACATGTAATCTTACCAATTACGTATTCATTTGAAAAATATTTATTTGGTAGACTAGTCTTAATCTTTGTTAATTTGTTTGAACTACTTTTCTTCTTAGAAGAGGTAGTTTTTACTCAAGTATTTGTGACATGTTAGGGTAAATAAAAATTTAAAAGTTGTGTAGTTGCAAATATTTATGGATTTCTTTTTGTTTTTTAGTTAAACATCCTTATTTTCCACGAAAATATGATCCAAAGTTCACTGATGTCAACTTCCCTCCCAGTAGAAAACAGAAAAAAAAGGTATTTTTAAAGATATTCTTGAATGTGACACTTGGGTCCCTATGTCACTGTTTCATGCCTTTTGTTTCTATTACAACGGTCTCAGTGTTTTGCATCCATTTTTGACACAGTGAGGCCTTGCTATAATAGGATCTTTAAGGATCTTAGCTTAAGTAAAAACTTTAAGCAAAATCTTTTTGAGAAATAAATGGAGAAATTGTAGAAAAAGAAAGCATTCAGTCCATTTCAGTATATTTTCATGAATAAATATAATTGAGAACTATGATTACTAGTAAATGTAAATGTTATTAAACCTTAGTGAACAAAAAAAATATATATGTATATATATATGTACATGTACATTAGCAAATTGGGATAGGAAGGATGGAATTTAGGGAGAAGAATGGAAATCCAAACTCTTCTCTTGTAAAATTGAAAGTATGGAGTTAAGAACAAATTACAATGACACAAACCTTTTATTTTTTACGATTTTTCTTTATGACATGGATCTTTTAGGAACAAATATTTCTGTGATTAAAAAAAGCATTTGCGGGGCGCCTGGGTGGCTCAGTTGGTTAAGCGACTGCCTTCGGCTCAGGTCATGATCCTGGAGTCCCTGGATCGAGTCCCGCATCGGGCTCCCTGCTCAGCAAGGAGCCTGCTTCTCCCTCTAACCCTCCCCCCTCTCATGTACTCTCTCTCTCTCATTCTTGCTCTCTCAAATAAATAAATAAATCTTTAAAAAAAAAAAAAAAGCATTTGCAGGAGTTTTTCTTGAGTCAAATTCAATTAAAATTAAATTTAATGTTAATTTAAAATAGTTTAGTTTATCTTCTATGCCTGAAGTAATGTCTGAAATTATTCAGAGTTTTTTTGTGTTATTATTGTTATTTATTATTTATCTTAACTCATTGTAATGCTTCGATTCTTTTCGGTAGTGGATATTTATCATTTTTATGAAAAAAGTTGTTATTTATTTATTTTTTTGAAGATTTTATTTATTTATTTGACAAAGAGAGACACAGCGAGAGAGGGAACACAAGCAGGGGGAGTGGGAGAGGGAGAAGCAGGCCTCCCGCGGAGCAGGGAGCCCGATGTGGGGCTCGATCCCAGGACCCTGAGATCATGACCTGAGCTGAAGGCAGACGCTCAATGACTGAGCCACCCAGGCGCCCCAAAAAAGTTGTTATTTTTTTTAAATCAGGATCAACTCTTGGTTATGCTTTAGAGACCAAATCTTAAAATAGGCTTCTTTTATTCTTTTTTTTTTTTTTTTAAGATTTATTTATTTACTTTAGAGAGGGAGAAAGAGAGAGAGAGAGCTTGCGCACATGTGTGCACAGGGGGAAGGGACAGAGGGAGAGAGAATCTCAAGCCGACTCCCCACTGAGCACTGAGCAGACCAGGGCGCGATCTCAAGACCCTGAGATCATGACCTGAGCTGAGATCAAGAGTCCTGGACACTGAGCTACCCAGGTGTCCCAGGCTTCTTTTATTCTGATGAAGCTTATAAATGTGGTCTGTTTTAAGGTGTATAAATGTCAGGGTGCCTGGCTGGCTCAGTTGGTAGAGCATGTGACTCTTGATCTTGGGGTTGTAAGTTTGAGCCCCACGTTGGGTGTAGAGATTACTTAAAATCTTAAAAAAAAAGTAATGTCATTATTTTAGAATGAGTTGAATAAAGTCTATAGCATGAAATTAGTATCGTTCATTTTGGCATGGCAACTGTGTAGCTAATACTAAGAAAATACTGTGCATATCTAATGTATTAACATAATCCCAACATTAAACAATGGGAGGCCATTTTCTATATACTCTATCATTGTAGTAATCTTTTTTGTTTTATGTTTAAGCATAAAAATAGCAAATTTGGAATAAATAACTGACCTTTACTAAATGATTCTTTTTTTCCTTTTTGGAGTTTAAAAAAATGTGATATATTTGTTTTTCCTAAAAGTTGAAATGCTGTTTTTACCATGAATATTGACTATTAGATCATTTGACATATGCTATACTTTTAATTAGATTACCAATTTGAAATCTACTCACAGATTATATTAGCTGTACTCAGATTTAAAATTTCTTTATCATGCCTGGCTTTTCCTAATATACTTCCTAAAAATAAAATAAAAGAAACAGAATTATCCCTTCATTAGAAATGTATTCAGAAGTTTCTCCCACATATAGGGGTTATGTGAAAAATCAAAGTACATACCACTGGAAGGATAGTTATATTTTTATCATTGATTAAACATTTTTTATCAAAAGCCTAACGTCTCTCTGTTTTTGTTTGCAGAAAAGAAAGGAACCAGTTTTTCATTGTTTTTGTGATACCTGTGATCGTGGTTTTAAAAATCAAGAAAAGTATGATAAACACATGTCTGAACATATGAAAGTAGGTTTTTCTTGGTTGCCCTGAAATTTATAGAAAAATGGGTATATTTGGTAGAAATTCTGAGCTTTTTTCCTTAAAAGTTTATAGTTTTCGTAGAAAAGTTGTTTGATTACTTGACAAATTGAGACCGAGGCCCTGGGATGTGCGGTTTGAGGGTGGGGAGCCCACTGCTTCAGGAAGAGGCAAGATGGCAGCAAAGAAGGGAGGTCTGACAGCTGTGTGTGTGCACCTCCCCTGCTTTGTAAGAGTGTTGGGCCTCACCTCCAGCTCCTCTATGCACCTTTGTGTGTTTTTTCCCCTTTAAGGCTGCCCTTGACCATTTAATCACACCGTAATTTGCATGGCCCATCACTCTCTAAGGATGGTCTGGACCTTATTAAGTACTTTTAAGAAATTTTTAATCAGAATGTTCTTAATTTGGAAAGGTTCTTTTCAGTTAATAGGAATGCCCCTTCAACTTTAGGAATTAAGAAAATTTTATAATGTTGCTGATGTCATGGATTTACTAAGTAGAGAAGTAATTGATATATATTACTGTTCTGTATGCTTTGAGGATGTCATTTTTAAATACAATCCTATTTTGGAGTGCTGTTTGTTTTGCTATGGACGTAAGTATGGGATGATAACACGACGTAGATGGGATAACTATGTAATTCAACCAGATTATGTCTGAATATGTAGTAGTTGGGTAAATTTAATATGGAAAACATTGAATGATCTTTTTTTTTAAACTCTTGCAGTGTCCTGAAGTAGATTGTTCTTTTAGTGCCCATGAGAAGATTGTCCAATTCCATTGGAGAAATGTAAGTTCTTGTGTGGGTTTTTTTTTTTTTTTTTTAATTCATGCTCTTTTTATTTCATTGATTTGCTATCTTCACAGCTCTTCATTTACATAGCCTAATAATAAGTAACATTCAAGGAGTACTTTGTACTTTGTATTATTCAATTTTATCCTCACAAACCACTATGTGAAGTAGATAAATATTGGCCAGAGTTGATCGATTAAAAAAAATGACTGCCCAGGGCCTTAGCACTAACTCTTGCACTTGAGTTTCTTGACCACACATTCCATACTTGTTTTGCTACACTGTGCTGCTTCATATCGTTCTGTGTATTCATTATTTCTTTAGCTACCTCAGTCACTTTGGGCTGGTAGGTCATTCATTTGGGTATCTGATGTCAGTTGGGAAATGGGGGCATACCTGCTTTGTAACCAGAGTTATGTTACTCCTTTTTTTCTTTATCAGTAGCACTAATCTAAATAAGAAATTGCTCTTTTCCTTTAAAGGAGAAGTCATAATAATGGATAGATAAAACCTGCTCACTTTGTTTTAAAATTGTCTCTGCTAGGAAATTTAATGTTGAGTACAGAGTCTCCATTATCCCCCGTGATACTGGAAATTTAGTCAGAAACATACAATATGAGGGCGCCTGGCTGGTTCAGTCTGTGTAGCATGTGACTGTTGATCTCAGGGTTGTGAGTTCAAGCCCCATGTGGACATGGAGCCTACTTTAAAAAACAAAAAGTTACAACAACAACAAAAAACGACCAACACATACAATATGCTTCCTGTTGTTCAGCAGGCTTTTTCTCCCTAGATGCATGCTCCTGGTATGAAGAAGATCAAGTTAGACACTCCAGAGGAGATTGCAAGATGGAGGGAAGAAAGAAGGAAGTGAGTCAAGAGTTCAGAAATGTGAAATAACTTTCTTGTACTGTGGCAAGGCTGAATACTTCCAAATAATGCCCATTCTGGCCCTAATGAGCAATGTGAAAAAGGAAATGATGGTGTTTTTTAACATTGCAAATATTCCTCTGAAAATGACTAGTACTAATTTTGCTGTTCTTCAGAGTTGGTATATAGTGAATTTGAGATTGTTACTTGATGTTTTAAAAATAAGCATACAATTTTTACTAGGGTAGTTTTGATTCATTGAGTTCCCTTACAATGTTGGTACTAGGGAATGTGGCTGTGAGCTATATAATATGAGGTTATTATTGAATCAGTTTTGAGAGGACCTAATACGAACTCTTTGTAAATAACTGGTGTCATAATGGGACTGTACCCTACTCTTTGAGGGGAGCTACTACATGCCAGCTATGTTAGATGTTCAGTGCTCAATCATGAGTGGGTGCTATTATTTAAAAAAATACATAATACTTTGCTATGTTTTTCTTTTGATTTTTTTTTCCCCAACAAAAATCTGTTGAATGACTGCAGTATGCTAGGTAGAGGAAGTATAGCAATGATACGTGGGTTTATCCTTAATTAAAAAAAGACCAGGAATTCTTTCCTATGAGTAATGGCTAAGAAAATTGAGCCACAATGTGACTTGTGGCTTTATGCTTATCAGGGAGGAAAGTTTCATAGAGGTCTAGCGAGAATATACTCATGAAAAATCCCAGGAGGACATTCTTTTACTGTCTTCTCAGAAGGGAATATGACAGCTCACCCTGAAGCCAAAACTAGGCAAAATTATTAGAATGGTCAGATGCATTTTTAAGTCAGGTGATGTTTTTCTGGAATTAAAAAATGAGGAGAGCCTGAGATGAGAAAGGGGATAGTTATCTTCTGAGGTCAAGAAAAATACTTAAAACTCTTTGGACCGGCAGGTCAAATTTTTGCTTTGTTCCACTTAATTTTTTAGTTTATTTTTAAATTCAACATTTTTATTTATAACGAATAATTTGAGACCGTGTTGACGTTATGAAAAGAGGATGTTAGTAAAATTATGGGTATTTATTACCACCACTGTCATCATCCTCAAAGTCTTGGGTATGTGAGTAAGATAAGCTTGATCAGATGCCCAGCAAACAATAAAACATGACATGGCGTGTTTTATTAGTTTGTTAATATGTGCTGTGGGTACAGTGTGAGGTGAGTAAATGTATCAATGAAATACACTCCAGGGTATCTTAATGCTTTTATATAGCACTCACTGTCTCACTTTTAAACCTCTTAAAATACATGTTTTTTTTTTTTTTAATATTTGAGTATAGTTGGCACATAATGTCATATTGGTTTCAGGTATACAGTGTAGTAATTCAACAAGTCTGTGCGTTATGCTGTGCTCACAAGTGTAGCTACCGTCTGTCACCATACAACACTATTATAATACCATTGACTACATTCCTATGCTGTACCTTTTATCCCAGTGACTTACTCATTCCATAACTGGAAGCCTGTGTCTCCCACTCCCCTTCACCCATTTTGCCCATCCCTCCACTCACCTCCCCTCCAGCAACCATGAGTTTGTTCTCTGTATCTATAGGTTTGACTCTGCTTTTTGTTTATTATTTAATTTGTATTATTTTTCAGATTCCACATATAAATGAGATCATGTGGTATTTGTCTTTCTCTTTCTGACTTATTCCACTTACCATCATTCCCTCTAGGTCCATCCATGGTATCTTAAATTTTTAGTTTAGATCCATTTACATATGTGGTGTTGTGGCAGATATTATACTGTTAGGTGAAAAAGTTAGTGACTGTCCTTTAAAACTCTAGAGGTAATTCTGTGGGAAGCCAGCATAAACATAAAGATTTAGAACCAACTGAGAACAAATAGAATTTAGTCAATGTGTATATAAGTATCAGTTATGAATACTGTAAAATGCAGGATGGATGAGGGTGAAGGGACAATCAGAAGAATTTAATTTTTAAGCGATTAGAGTCTAGCCAGTCAGCATGGACTTGGTGGATTTAATAGAATTTTAGTCACATCTTTGGCTAACAAATGAAGGAGCTTAGGCCACCAGGAGTAGAGTATACTAGAATGCCTTTTTCTCTTTATCTCCTTGGCAGAATCTTATTATCTTGAAAGACCTGTTTCAAATGTCCCCTGATTATCACACTCTTCTTAATCTTCATTTTCTTTATCTCGGTGCTGCCAGGGTGCTAGTCTGTAATAAGATGAGGAACTTGTATCAGAATGTAAATTGATACATTACTTTTTTTACTGAGAGAAAATCTTTGTAGGAAAAGATGTCAGCTGATTAAATATTTTACTTTGTAACATTGTTGGTTTATATTCTGGCATCAGCATGTGGATTGGCTGCCAGTCCTTGGACCACCCTACCCTAAGGCACTATTTACTACCTCATTTGTGACTAGGTAGCTTATGAATACAACCACAGTAGCGTCTGTTGCATTAATCAGTTATCCCTAGTCTTGGAGATCTTTGGTTCTGTTGCACTTCGGGCTGTTCCTGGAATTTAGTATGTGGAGAATAAATATTTGTGGATTGACTTTCTGTTAAATGGTGCAGGGTAGTAAGACCCAGTCTCAGCATGAAGGGAGCCTAGCCAATTGCATGATCAGACTTAGAAGTTAGAGTAGTTAGGCCCATGACGTGGTTTGACTTAGTGAAGAATTCTGAAGCATGGCATATTGAAGCACCCTGCTCCATTTAGCTGGCTTCTTTATATATACAATTTTTTTCTCCTCACAACTCCCTAAGTATATGGTTATTTTGTTTTGTTTTTTGCTTTGCTTCTTTGTTTTTATCAATAGGTTATATCTTTTTATCACTTTACACAGAAAAATAATAAAACAAGAAGAATTAACTCCATTTCCTGTTTGATACTTAGTTTGAAGAGCAGATGCTGACGGTGTTGAAGATTGTATCCTGCTAGATGGGGTGGAAGTGACCTAAGTGCTAAAACAGTAGGCTGTTCCCCTTGCAACTTAGCCCTGACTTTGATCAGTTGGAAGTTAGTGCAGCTTAGTGGTGCTAGGCCCTTTTATAAATGTTTAATTCTTTTGAAGAGGATGACAATGGCTGCTAGTCAGCATAGATTATAAAGCAGTTAGGAAGTTAACTAAACTTAGTTGTTGAATCTTGCAAGTTTTGAGTCCACTTAAGTCAGTAGGAAAGGTCTGAGATGAGTTTCTAATTTGCCAGCTTTGGTTCTTTTATCTCTAGTGGCTGTGTAAATTGGATCATGAACTCTGAGAAAATTAGACCACTATTAATAATGGTCACCACTTTCAATGACTCTGTTCTACAAGTCCAACTATTTCACTCCCTCACAGTCCTTCCCTCCTCAGCATGTAGTCTGGAGGAATGCAGTGTTTCTTGGCAAAGGTAGGTTGAGCTGAACTCAGATCTAACTAGGAAAAGATGAGGGGAGGCAGGGATAGTATCCAGATGGATTGGCATGTTCAAGGAACTTGAGTATAGGTAAGAGATGATAGAAGTTTTTGGAAGATGGCAGTGATACGGACAGAAAGAACTAGGTGGATATAGAACATTTGGGAGGTAAATGGGCACTGTTTGGAGATTGAATGATAAGAAGTTGAGGAGGAAAGGTTTTGAGGAAACTTCTGGGTTCCTGATGTGAGCCCCTCTGAATAGTGAATCCTGGAAGAGGGTTTGGATGTATTGATTTTGGACATTGTTGAGTATGAGGAGATTCTGAGATATTTATTTGAACATGTTGCATAGACGTTGGGTCTTGGACCAGACTGGGCTGGAGATATATATTTTAAATCATAAGGTTATAAATGTAAAGACATAGAGTGAAAGAAGACAGCCTAACAGAGTAAAAATCAGTAAGACTGCCAAGTGAGAGCTGGAGAGGTAGAAGAAAACTAGGAATATGACATGTCATGGAAGCCAGCAGAGGGGAGGATTTCAAGAAGGAAGATGTGATTAGTAGTAGCAGCGTAGTTTGCTGTGGAAAGGTGAAATAAAACAAGAAAAGTGACTGATTTTGTGACATGTAGGGCCTACTTGATGTGGATGCAGATGATTGGTTCTTCACCCTTCTTTGAATTTCCTGCCATCTGTCTACACAGCTCTCTGCGGTTCTAACACCCTCCCCAGTGATTCGTAACAAGATGGGTTGCAGTGGGTTGCAGTTACCTTTGCCACCTGCTGTTGGCATATTAGATGCTCCAACAGAAGCGTGTATACTTTGAATTCCCCTGACTTTTTGAGACTCATAGCTTATAATAAATAGTTCATTAGGGCCTTTTTATATTCAGATTTCCTTCACCTTCATGCAATTTTAGCCACTCACTTCCATGATCACAGTCTGGATTTTATACTCTGGATTTTTGCCTTGGAAATTCTAAAGCTAGGCATACTTGTCTTTCTATAAATTAAAAAAAAAATTTTTTTTTGTTTTGTTTTTAAGTAATTTCTACACCCAATGTGGGGCTTGAACTCACAACCTTGATCGAGAGTCACATGCTCTACTGACTGAGCCAGCCAGGTGCCCTTGGGCATATTCCTCTTTGATCATAACTTCCATTCTATCCAGCTCTCACTGTCACCTCTACCTAGTCTCGCACTAGTTGAGACCTCGCATCCCTTACCCCCTTTACTTTCTTCTGTCATCCCCTCTGTGTTCACCTCCCTACCCAGTTTGTTTATTTATTTATTTAAAAGATTTATTTACTTATTTATTTATTTGTCAGAGAGAGAGTGAGCACAAGGAGGGGGAGTGGCAGGCAGAGGGAGAAGCAGGCTTCCTGCTGAGCATGGAGCCTGATTTGGGACTCGATCCCAGGATACTGGGATATGATCTGAGCCAAAGGCAGATGCTTAAGCGACTGAGCCACCCAGGCATCCCTTTATTTATTTTTTAAAAAGATTAATTTATTTTAGAGAAAACGCACGCATGCATGCATGAGTTGGGGGAGGGGCAGAGGGAGAGAATCTTCAAGCA